TAAGTTGCTTATTAGGATTGGCTAATGAATCAATCATTCATTATTGCATGTTTTGCTATTGGAAAAACAAAAATCAATGTTTTGGCAGGTCTTTACTTACCTATATGTTGATAATATGATAAAAGAAGAGGCAGTATAAGTGAAGGGGATTTAAAGCAAGTCTCTTACAGTAGAGTCTTACTTCCTCAGTAGACCTTGACCAACCTCTGTCTGTACTCCATGCCTGTCTCACTCCTTTTCTCTGGGATTCACCCGGGGGCTTGGTGAGGCTTCCACTGCTGCTGATCTCTGACTGGCACCTCCAAGCTTTACAACTGGTATCCCTCCCTGTGAAAGCAGGGCTTCAAGAAAGTGATGAGGTAGCATTAGCGTTGCTCCTCAAATTTAGGAACACGACAAAACTTAAATCCTGCCTCCACATAAACCTTTCCCCTCCCTGAAGGGGGAAGAAATAATGAAAATGATGCATTTACCTTTTCATTGGCAATACTTAGCAATTTGTTTTCCAGAAATAAAGTAATAACAAAGAAGACAGAAAGTGGTAAAATGCCACCAATAACCAAATTCTGTATTTACTTTGAAGATGGGAAATCAGCTGCAGCTGGATTCAGCTGAATCCTGTGCCATGCTGCTCCCTGAATCCTTCTGAGATACACTCATGTGTAGCAGCAGTATGACAGAGCAGCGGCCATAAAGAAATTAGAGTGATGAATAAGACCAGGACAAATGAGAAGAATTCCAGAATTGAGGGATCGTTCTTCTGGTGAGATGATTCCAAGCAGAATCCTAGAGACCAACTTAATTACAACTGAATTTTAAAAATTTAAAAAACTTCTTGATGTGGCATCACCTTCAGTGTTACCCTTGGAGCATTAATTCTTAATCATCTTCATCTTAAAATTTTTCCAAGATTGCCTCTAGCCTCTGTTTTACCATCCCAATTATCAAGCAAAATAAGCAAATGCATATAAATTCTCAAAATATGTCAGGTGGAAGTACGCTGTATTTTTTTTTAAATCTTGAGAAAAGCCACTTCAAAGCAGTAACTTGTTAAGTACGTGTCCGAAGGAATTTAATGCACAGCGATTGTTTTTGTAGAGAGAGGTGAGAGGTTATTAAGTTATTTGGATGTTGAAGGTCATGTGAAAGTCTAGCATTCACTTTACCTGGAGCAGTTCATGCTAAACTGATCCCTTGCCCATGGCCCGGAGCTTCTCAGAGGATCTGTCTCTGTGAGCGGGGAGTCATCTCCTCTCCATTTAGCAGAGAACAATCAAGTACTTTTGATTCCAAATGTTGAGTTAATTCCAGAATGACAGCCTTAGTTCAGAAAGGACACAGATCCTTCTCTGCCAAAGAGCAGGGAAACCCGTTAGGGAACGTTTACTTTGGGTCTCGGCGATGATGTCTGAACAAGTTAGATGAACAAAGAGCCTCAATAAGAGATCTGGAGCTCCAGAAAAAGGGAGGAAATACCAAATAAATGGAATAATTATAAAACAAATACCAGCAAAGTTAAATCAATATGTTGTGTGGGAGATATCCTTTTGTCACTCATGTGAAGTATATTTTGTTCCTACATTAGACAGAAAAGAGGTGGAACTTGTTTTCCTTCTTTTCCTCACAGCCACCAATGCTGAGCTTGAAACTTCTCTGCTTTGTTCTGGAGAATGTGATTGTCTCACACTAACAATGATGAGGTTCTGACAGTTATATAGTTTCTCTCTGTGAGCTTTTAAAAATGCCAGCCAGTAACCCAGTGGCATTTCTACCGTAAAATTTTAAGGCCAATCCATTTCCCCACTTCCTTATTTTCTTGGTTTCAAATATATTTCTTATTGCCAATGGAAATAAAAATCAGAAATTAGAAGGCAGTGGTATCACTTGTCATTCTGGGTTAGTAAAGGGCTCCTAAAAATGACTCACACAGGATGCAAAAATGTTATAGGGTAATCATCCTGTGTTCCTAGCTAGTCATTCAGCTACAATCAGTTTTGTAGCCCTCGTTAGTGGCTTCAGGCCCAGGCAGAATAAAAATCAAACCAAAAGCATGGAAAGACACACTGAAGCTGCGTTTCTAAAGTAGATGGGCCCTGACTATAAATCATAATACTTTGGGTTTTTTTTGTTCAAAATTGATGTTTTTTTTGTTTTATAGCATTGCTTATTGTTGCCTCACAAGTGCTTGGGTTTCTGAATTCCAAGTCATGTGAGTAAATTTGGTGCGGCTGTTAGAAGTGGCCTTTCAATGTCAAAGTACACATTCCTCGGTTTCTTTATAATACCACTGCCATTAGCACCTGTTCTCTGAATTCATAGCAGTTCTAGAAGTTAAGTTTCTTGCTACTGAAAGATAGGAAATAAACAACTTATGCAACCCATTTGCCTGACACCAGTCCTTAGATCCTATGAGCTATGCACATGGTTTTTAAATTACTCAGCAGTAGCCACCCAGGCTTTAAAATCTTTGCAAGGGCTTAGAATGTCAAAGTCGCTATAATGAGGATTTTTATTTCATCAGTTCTAGGAGTGAAAAATTGCTTAGTAAAACTTTCTGCTTAGTAAAACTTTCTGACATCAAGTTTTACTAACCATTTGAATTATTCTAAAATCAACACTGACAGCTAATTTCTGTATCATGTTGTTCTTAAACATAGCTTTATTGAGATATAATTCACTTGCCAATGTATTCATTTAATGAAGTCAATGAATTTTCTGTATAATCATAAGTTGTGTAACTATCACCATAATCAATTTTAGAATACTTTCATCAACCCAGAAAGAGATTCATACATCTATAATTTCTTATTCTACCTTCTTCCCTCACCCTAGATGACTAATAATCTACTTTCTATCTCTATAGATTTGCTTATTTTGGAAATTTTATATAAATGAAGCAATATGGTGCTTTGTGGTTGACTTCGTTGATGGAGCATAATGTTTTCAAGGTTCATCTCTGTTGCAGCATGTTATCAGTGCTTCAGTCTTTTCATTATTGAATAATATTCCATGTATATTTTATAAGACAGTGAAGAGATTTATTTAATTTCTTAAAGATGCCCTTTGGCTTGATATTGATAGTGAAATTCTTCTCATTTTAAAATTGGGTGTCATATTTTCATAATTTCAAATATACTGAAGATGCAAAGTTTATTTATAGGTGGGGCACATTTTCCTTTTTATTAAATCTTCTACAGGTCTCTTTGTTTTTATCCACAGTGCCATGACGCTCATTCTAAGCATCTGGCCATCGGTGATCTACTGAGGCTGACTCTCTCCAGTTGAGCTGATTATTAAGTTTTCAGGATATTTGTCAGCTGATTATTAAACATAGCCATTATTAAAAATTAAATTACTCAAACTTGTAATTAAATTATTATATTAAAATAAGAGAATAAGAACTCAAAAGTTATCACTTCCTAACTATTTTACATTGTGCTATTACTTACCCTAATAAGATTATTTGTGTTCCTTGTGTCTGAAGGGTAGAAACACTATAATATAATATTCAATTGTGTATCTTTTCCCAACTCTATGTTCAGTGACTTCATATTTGGTAGCTTGAAAATGGTCATGGTGAGAATATTTACAAATACCATTAGTCAGGTTTTGTTTTTGTTTCCTGGAGAGGGCATTGTTGAGTATTTGCCTGCACATCACCCCTGCTCACAGAGGGCCATTTTCTGGTCTCCCTACTTTCAGACTCTCCTCCTAGCTATCTGTCTAACACAACCTATGAAGCCTAATTTTCTTAAATAGTGAAGGCTGAGCATGATAAGGGAAAGAACAAAATCAAACTCATAGAGGAAAATTTAGGCTTTGCTTATTAGTAATTCAGATAAATTTAGCATATTTGAGGATCCATTTCTTTATTTTTTTAATTCACTTCCTCCCATTACTATACTGATTATTATTTTTTTAAATTTCAGATTAAGATGAGGGTACCAATGATTAGGTTACATTGTTTGCATTTGTTAGGTAAAGTCCAAATTGTTGTTAAGCCCTTCACCAAGGGGATATGCTGTCTACCCTTACATTGTGCCCATTGGGTAGGTGAGAGCTTATCTCCCTCTGTCCTCTCCTTTTCCCTCACCCTCCAACCCCCACTTTATTTAATTGTGTTTTTCCCCTCATGTCAGTGTATAGTTATTTATCTATTGGTTTCCTATTAGTGTTGAGTACATTGGATACTTGCTTTTCCATCCTTGTGATACCTTACTAAGGAGAATGTTCAGCAGTGATAACTTTTGTTCCATCTACTTAACAAGATTTTCAAATTAAAATCACAGCATGCTTATATTTGTGGAAGCTCTTTGGAAAGTGCTAAATGTATACAAGGTTTGTTTGTTTTTTTCCTAGAGAAGGGGTCTTGCTATGTTGCCCAGGCCATACTCAAACTCCTTGGCTCAAGCAATCCTCTAGCCTCAGCCTCCTGAATAACTAAGACTTCAGACATGTGTGCCCACACCCAATCACATTAATAACAGTAAACACTTGCTTTACATTTTTACTTCTTGGCTAAGATTTGCAAAGGCTCATGATCTAAATTGTATCCTAAATCGCTGTCCCAGATTTTTCACAGCTTAACTGCTACCTATAGTTCCAACTTTGCCTTCTAGCCTTTATGATGGATAGTAACTAGGACAGGGAGTGCCAGGTGGGTGCGCCACGGCTTTCCCAGATGGTGCCCAGTGCAGACACCGCATGATCACCTCACATCTTTTCATGCTGTGTAGACTGGCCTTTTCATGCTGTGTAATTTTCGTTATTATTCTCCAGGAAAAATTACCACTAGATCCGACTGGGCAATGAAAATTAAACCTATTTTTGCCTTTTGAGAACCTGTTATTAAAATTTAAATGTTGCAAGTTAATGGAAAATTATGTCATATTAAACCATAGTCACTCATTAATATCTTAGCAAGAAAATGATTGAAGTTATGTAGCTTTAAACCTGGGCCCTAATTCAGTTTAAGTTTTTATGAAAGCCAGGTTGTAAAGATGTTAGGAACACAGAGCAGGAGCCCTCTGAAGAAGCTGAAGACCATGAAGTATGAAGAAGAATCTGGACCTCTAGGGAGGAGGAGCCTGAGGAACATCTGCAAAGTTTTGCCCAAACAAGGTCAAAATGTTTGCATTTAGCACAGCGCTTCTTTTGTTCTGAATGGCTTTGTTAGAATATTTTTTCAATTGTGAGTTTATCTTTCCTCTCAATATTGGCAAAACATTCCCTTTTGATTTTGGTTTAGCTACATTTTGATTCCTTACCAAAGAAGGTCTCAATGACGCCAAATTTTGGAATTCCCTGGAGAAAAGAAAGATGCTGAGGGGAAAAGCATGGGTTTGGGAATCACTAACTCTAAGTTCAATTCCTTTCTTCAATAAATATAAGAAATTTTACCTGACCAAGGCCTCATTCTCTCAAATTGTATTCAGAAATTTCACTTTTTATATGATGTATGTATTTATTTCACAGTTTTCTTGCCTCTCTCCGTTCCTTCTCCATTTTCTTTTTAGATTTTTCTTACCTGTGTGAAGATAATTCTGCCTTATCTATGATAGTTGGAGAATATATTTGAAAATGACTGAAGTATCTGGCTTTGTGATTTCCCCTACCAGCTTCACAGATTTCCATTATACATTATTAGTTACTGATGACTAGAGGGCAGATGAGTGTAGCTGCTGAGAGTGGGGAGATAAAACATAAAGTTATGGTTCCCACCCTCCAGCAATGATGCAAACACCACAATTAAGACTAATTGATATAAACTACTCACTAACCCTCTAGCTATAGTTAGTTCCTTCAACAAATAGTTTATTGCTGCGTACTCCATGCTACAGCAATAAAATTGTATACATGTGTTGGTTAAGTGTCTGTATTCTTCTCACTCATGGTACATTTTATATTTAAAGTCCAAATATATTTTATATTTTGGACTTTATCAATTGGGCATCAATTCCTAGTATAGGGTTCTTTGGGCACAGTCATCATTATTATTTTTTTTGAGAATCATTTAAATATAGAATGTTTAGCAGTATGTTTTTCCCCCTGAGAAAGATTGTATCGTTATTCTCAGTTCCTCTGACAAAACAACAGTCACAGTTCACAAGTGGTGCTTCATAAGATATGAAGCCTAGTATTGATAGAAATTGACTTATTTTATTCACATAATTATAGATTACATCATTTTTCACATGCCTGAAAATCTGAATGGATGTCAACTTGCAAATTTCTGTTGAAGACCAAATCCAATGATTATTATCTATATCTGCTATTCTTTTTGTATTTTAGCTGGACCAGACCAATTTTGAGGAAAGGGTACAGACAGCGCCTGGAATTGTCAGACATTTACCAGATTCCTTCTGCTGATTCTGCTGACAATCTATCTGAAAAATTGGAAAGGTGCGTCCATGCATGTTGTTTATTGGTTGAGGAGAGAGATTCATATTAATTATTTAGAAAATAGAAAACTAACATATTTGTAGGCTTAATTTTTTAATGGTACATTTAAAATAGGATCAACTTATTCTCTTGCTGATGTCTTGATGAGGTAAACAACTAAATGATAAAATCTTGAAAGAAAAGTAATCATTTTCCAGAGAAATGACTTTTTTTCCCTGAAAAATACATACTTAAATTCTGTCTTTAAAAGACACGAGGTCATTTCTGTGAAGACTAAAAGTAACATTATTATGAAGCAAATTATGTATATAGTAGAGCCTCTGTAAATTGACTACTTATGGGACTGTAACATACTGGTCAACATAGAGAGTTGGTAAACATAAGGGATTAGGCCTACTGTACTGATTACATTCATGTGATAACATGTTCAGTGTATGAAAATTAGGTCAACTTAGGAGGTGGTTAACTATTGAGGTTCTACTATATTTGCTTTCAGAATCTTAGTATGTGATTACAAATGTATGTCCAGGGAAATCTTAATGCTATTGGCTATCAAAGAAATGGAAAATTTCACATTTCAGAGAATCTATTACATGCCAGGTAGAGTATCTCCTTTCAGCCATTTCAGGAGGAAAGCATCATTACCTCCCTCCCACAGAAGAGCAAACTGGGCTCTGAGAACTGATGCCTAGAGAGATGCATAACTAACCAGTGCTGGAGCTGATTCCAGTCTAGGTCTGCACTATCCAGATCACTAGCAACAGTATTCTCCTCAAGAATTCCTCAGAGTCCCCTTCCCTAAGAGTATCAGGACCCTTTTGGCTACCAGTGATAGAAACCCAGTTTACTAGTGTAAGTAAATAAAAAGAAGGAATTTATGGGCTCAAAAAGCCTAAACCCAGGTAGAGAACTAGCCAGGGGACCAGGGACTCAACTGCTACGTGGTGACACTTGACTTGTGCTGATTTTATTCTTTCAAACCAGCTTCCTCCATGCAGGAGGTTGGTCCTCAGAACTCTTGGCTGGTATTTCATATGGACCACAGAGGAAAGAGCCCTTTATCTTGAGCCAGAAGAATCTCAGAGACTGAATCACTTTCTTGCCTCTTGAACCACTCACAGTCCAGAAGCAGCTAGTTTGGGTCTTGTACCAGCAGCACAGGGTCTGATACTAGATGAAAGAGAAGGCAGTGGGAGGGGGGAAGAAAAATATATTTCATTTATATTTATTTGGTGCTGCTATGTACTGAATTATTGCACCAAAACAGAGTAGACTTGCAGTTTGCTTACCTTATTTTAAATAAATTCATTTCCACTTTTTGACATTTTCAAGGTGAAGCGAGATATTAAACCTTGTTTTTCTTGATTTTATTCAAAGAATTAGGCTAGTGAGAGTAGCAGATTCACACTTCCAAAATCAAGGGTCAGCTCCTATTGTGGAGCATTTAGTATGTAAGTGCTATGAGTCAGGGATTTTTTTTTTTGTATTTATTGTGTTTGATTTGTTTTGTTTATGATGTGTCCCTAGAGTAGGTCCCAGCATTTAGTTATCTACTCAATAAATATTTGTTGAGCAAATGAATGGTTGAATATGAAATGACTAGCATTACATAGAAACCTATAATGTAATTCATTATAGGTAAATCAGCAAGTTCAAAAGAATAGATATTGGATATCTAAGTTTTAATGGAATGCTGAGGGAAAGATTAATCAGAACAGGGCTGAGTTAACTAAAATGTGTGTAGTATAGATTTATTTATGGCTAAATAGAGGACATATACCTGAATTTACAGAATTGCCTGGTCTAACATTTATTTTTCTTCTAAGTTTTCATTGTGTCCCTTGTTTTGATTCAGTTTTTAATATATACCTATTTTGTTTATATTCATCAATTCAGTTCCAGAACAATTCAGTTCCATAAATTCTCTTCTTTACTCTTGTTCACTTATTTTCTTATAAAATTGACATGGAATTTATTGAAACATTTTGAAAGAGTGGCATACCATTTAAAGTACTCTGTAACTCTGTACCCTTGGGAAGTGACCCTGGCCTCACATTTTGCAACTGCCTTATAACCAAAGCCGTCAGTGATTGCCACGTGATTGAGGTACATTGTCCCATCTGGCTTAATTTTGAGGCCGTAAAGTTGAGTCATCTACCTAACCTCAGTATGCAAACCAGAAATCCATTCCATGATTGTAGCTAATACATACATGAACTTTACACGTATTGAACACCTTCCATTCTGATTTGGGCCTATCATGGTGTTTCTAGAACCTCACTACCTACTCTTATCCTCTCAGGTTATGAATTGTTCAAGTCTCACCTACTAAAGAAAACAAAATTCCCCAACTTTTCCCTCTGGTCACTACCTCTTCTTTTTCTTTCATGGTTGACATTTATCTGCTCTCCTAAGCTCTTCTCTTCTTCACCTTTCATTTACATCTCAGTTCCCTGAAGCATAATTTCCACTTCTACCATGTTCCTAAAAGTACATTGACCAGGCTGACTACAGACCTCTTTCTTATCAAATATGACACCTTACTGTATAAGCTTGAGTGTTGAGCACTTCTTCTTACCCTGGGAACCATTTCTTTGGGTTCCCCCTTCCTGGTTTCCTGTCTGGCCCATGTCTCCTTAGTGAAGAAGGTGAATTTGCTTCCCATTTGTCTTCTTACCCTCTTGGGAGTCACCGAGTGTTATGTATGAGAAGCAAGCTCCATGTGTGTGAGTGAAAGATGAGGAAGAGTGTGGGCAGGTGGATAGATGGAAAGGGTGGTTAGGCTTTATAGCAAGGCTCTAGTTAGCAAGCTGCTGAGGGGAAACCAAGGTCCATGTGCAGAGACTACAAAGCTTGTCTTCAAATCTCAGTTATGTGTTAATATAAAATATAAAAATTAAGATCAGGGTAACATTTAGAGATATTTTATACCCTGGTGAAGAGTAAAAGGGCTTTTTATTAAGAGAGATAAGTGGCAAAAACTTAATATATTTAATCAGCTGGTGTTCCCATAGTATTTAAGAGAACTCAAAAGTTAATTAGGTTTCAGACAGTGTTCACACTATTTAATGTCTATTCTTACCAGAAAATGTACAATTTGATCCTCTTCTCATTTTCTAAGACTTTTACTATAATAAATGATTTTAGTAGTTTAAAATGAAGTGTGATGATACTTATTTCATGCTTCTGCTTATAATATCTAACAGATTTTTCTGATCTTAAATCACTGAAAAAGTCACCTAACATGTTAACTTGTTTTTGGTTTGATAGTTAAATCTTGCAAAACCTGCCACAGTTCTATCTAAAGATCAAGGAGTGACAGAAAAAATTAGATTTTTGTGTTTCTTTTTTTCCACTGTGTTCTAAGCATAGCAGTGGGTATCCATGAGAGTCTTACTTTATTTGTCCACCCTTTTCATTACCCTTAAGAAGCCAAACACTGATTTTTAACACATACACTATAGCCTTTTCAAGAAATCAACTCCCCACAGGGTGATATATTAGAGGAGCATGGAATTCCCCCAAATATCTGGCTGAGCAGTTGGTGTTGGAGGCTCTCCATGAGGCTCATCTCTGTAATCTCTCGGGTCAGTCTCCTTGGATATACTTGAGTACATCCAGCTATGTTAAGGGAAATAGGGCAACTCAAATATTTGCACACACAACTTATTGGTCCCACTTTTTATTCTTTTGCAGAGAATGGGATAGAGAGCTGGCTTCAAAGAAAAATCCCAAACTCATTAATGCCCTTCGGCGATGCTTTTTCTGGAGATTTATGTTCTATGGAATCTTATTGTATTTAGGGGTAAGGATCTCACTTCTAAATTCATTATGTATATGATAATTTTAGTCATTTTTGTTATAATAGAAGGACTAGGGTAATGTGAAAGTAGAGAGGACTAGTCTAACCCTAATCACAAAGAAACTCTAGTAAGGACATACATTAATAAAAATCTTTAGGAACTCAGGTGTTCTGGAATGACAGTGGTAATTTAAGATGGGTTTAGCAAAATAAATTATTTGTTTTTGAGAAATTATTTTCTCTTTTGATTCTAAATCATATTATCTTACTAGCACATGAGATTATCAGTGCCTTTATTTTCCTATATTTTAGGAGACAATGTCAGAGAGACAATGCAAGTAGAAGAATTAGATCAAAATGTGGTCAAGTCCACATATGCGTATTTGTAATATTTTGAAATATTACCTGCATAGTGAATTGTTTCAAAGAAAAATAGAAAACATTTAAAATTTGGCAGCAGGATACTCTGGCAATGTAATTTTTCGGCATTCTCCATCTTCATTAGTATAAAGAGAGAAGCGTTTCTGGAAGCCCAGGCTTTGTGATGTTTAAATGCCTTTGGTGCTCCCCAGCTGTCAAATGTGACTCAGATTTATTATTTTCTGCATCACCATAGCATCATTTGAATCCTTGGTGGCAACCCGTAAAAGGAGGTGACAAGTGGAAAATTTACTTAGCTTCAAGTACAGGCTGTGCACAATATTTGCATTGGGATGTTACTGACTTGTATTCACATTGGTCTTTATGCCTCAGAGAGTTGGCAGTGCCACAGTGTCTCCTAAAGAAATCCCATCTGCGTTGCATTGCTTTACAAGTTTTAGTTCATATTCCCCAAGAAAAATATATTTAAAATTTCATCTCAACAAAGATGGACTGCAATAGGGTCAGAGTATTTCCTAATGCTTTTCTTCTGGCTTTTGATATAAGAGATCATTATAGGTTCACATGAGTATGGAATGTAAATAAATATTCCTAGCGAAACCTGCAACGGTTTAGGGTGAAAAATATTTTGTTAGTCAGTATGAATAAAGTAATTGTGGAATTATCTTTTAAGATGCATTTGAGATGGTTTTTCTCAATGAGAGCACACGTAGCTAGGCAACAGTTTGATTCATAGCTTCTGACTCCATTTGATGTATTTTTTAGAAAATGTTTTGTGTTGGTTGCTTTGAATCTTTGAATCAGGGTATAGAAATACAGCTTATTTTAACATTATCAAAATAATTGCTGGATTGAAGAGAGTAATATTTCAAATAATTGTTATGTCATGGCTACGATTTCAGTGAAACAAAATTTCCCTGGTCTTGTTCTACATCACATGCTGCTTTTATTGATTAACGTGAGCACTACCAAGGAGAAGCTGGAAGAGAGGTCTAGTTATTACACTCCTTTCTTTTTGAAATTAGTTAATAATTTTTTATTTCATTTCATTTTAAAATGTTAAGGGGATACAAATATTTTGGTTTCATGGCTTGACTATATACTTTGGGATTATAAATGTGCCCATCACCCGAGTACTGATCATTGTACCTGTTAGGTGGGGTTTGCCCCTCTTCTCCACCCACACTCCCCCTTCTTTGATTTGATTTTTACTTCCCTCTGTGTACCATGTGCCTATCAGTTAGTTCCAGCTTATTAGAGAGTACATGTTTTGCTGTTCTTGAGATACTTTGCTGAGAATGATGGTTTCTCATTCCTTCCAAATTGCTGCAAAAGGTATTAATTCATCCTTTTCATGGTGGAGTAGTGTTCCATGGCATACATGTACTACATTTTATTGTTCTACTCATGAACTGATGGGCACTTGTGTTGATTCCACATCTTTGAAATTGCAAATTGTGCTACAATAAACATTCAAGTTCAGGTGTCTTTTTGATAAAATGACTTCTTTTCCTTTGGATAAATATGCAGCTGTGGTATTGCTGGATCAAATGGTAAATGGTATGCCTTCTTTTAGTTCTTTATCCATACTGTTTTCCATAGTTGTACTAATTTGTAATTCTACAAACAGTGTATAAGTATTCCTTCCTCTCTGAATCTGTGCCAGCATCTATCATTTTTGGACTTTTTAATAAACCCATTCTAACAGAAAGTGGTGTCTTGTTGTGGTTTTAATTAGCATTTCCCTAATGATTAGTGATGTTGAACATTTTTTCTTACGTTTGTTGGCCCTCTGTGTATCTTCTTTCAAAAAATTTCTGTTCATGCCTTTGCCCACTTTTTTATTCAGTGGAGTTGTTTGTTTTTTTCTTGCTGATTTGTTTGAGTTCTTTGCAGATTCTGGATGTTAGTTCCTTGTCAGATATGTAGATTGTAAATATTTTCTCCCATTCTATAATGATTAGGCCCCTTTTTGTGCTCTGCCTGGCTTGTCAAATAATTTGTACCTCTATGTTCTACATAGAAGTCTTATGTGAGCAAAACACTCACCTAAACATAAAAGTCTGTAAGCTATATGAACATGTTTATAGGATTTATGTTTTGGTTTACTGTACACCAGAAAAGTAGCATGAGATATATATATATATATATATAGAGAGAGAGAGAGAGAGAGAGAGAGAGAGAGAGAACAGTTTAATATATATTGAGGACTTGATCTTAATTCCAGTTCCGTATTAAGCCCTTTATGCAGATTATTTAATTTTGCTAGTAACTCCATGGAGCAGAAGTTATTACTTCTGGTAAGAATACCACAGAAAGTATTCTTACCACAGTGGTAGGTTTGATTGATACTCAGTTTCTTTAGTTCCAAAGCCAATAACCCTTAACAGACTGTGGGGATTGCATAATTATATTTATAATGATTGTATTTAGGTATTAACAGAAGGGTGACTCTAGTTACCAGCCTTACATCACCTCTGCATCTTCTCAGGAGACACACACTACAGAAATTTGAAGGTTGAGAATTCTTTCAGGGTCACTTCAGGGGAAAATCTGAAGAAAGTTCACAGCAGATAGCAGGATAGGGGAACCAATTAGAATCTTCTCACAGGGAAAGAACTGTCTGAAATCTACCCAAGAAACAGTTCTGTGAAGGGTCGAACCTGTAGACAAAATTAAGGGGTAGGAGAATGGAGTGGGTATAAAGAAGGACTAAATAGCTCTTAAACTTCTCAAGATTAAAAATAGCCGGGCACCTGTAGTCCCAGCTAGTCAGGAGGCTGAGACAAGAGAATTGCCTAAGCCCAAGAGCTGGAAGTTGCTGTGAGCTATGACGCCATGCAGTCTACCAAGGGTGACAAAGTGAGACTCTGTCTCAAATAAATAAATAAATCCTAGCAAAAGAGATCCTTTAAAGCCTTTCATGGTGTATTAATTATCCACGGATGGGGGAGGGGACAGGTGCTCTTAAGGTAATCTGAGCCCTAGGCTATAGCTCTAGAATCAGGAACATGTTTGAAAGGTAAAGTCTGTTTCTACCAACTGAGCTCCAGCTGATACCCAGTGGTGTGTTGGTGAGGAAGACATCCTGATGGAGGAAAGCAACTGAAATGTGTATGGTGAGAAGGCATAGGGAAGGAAATTTACACGGAATATGGCACAAGAGTGGTAAGACAGACGGTTTTTCACCCTTGTCACAGAGTAAAGGCTTTACTGAGGTGTGTAGTTTTAAGTAGTGAAAATGTTGAAAACTGTGTCTCGAAGATTTTGATAACCATAGTGGCCATTTAGATGAATGCAGTTTTTTTGGGTATCTGATATCTTCATTTCGTTTTTTTTGTCCTTTATAAAAAATAAATAAATAAGAGAAGAAAATTTAACAATTATGATAATACCTCTATCCTCTCAAATAACTTACACCAATTCCTTACTATTAATTATATTCTTGCTGGATTGTCCTTCTTTCCATTAAATAAGCAAGGATAAATGAACAAGTCTTCTTGAAATTCCTATCACTCTAAGAAGTAGATGGACATACTTTCAGAATGTCTATAGATTCTAAGTCTTTGTATAATTTGGGTGCAAAAAATATTTGGGTGGTTTTTTGACTGACTAAAGAATAGTGCTATAAAATTTGCTGTTAACTGAAAAAGATTAAGAAAAAGGAAATGCCGTCATCCAGGAGCTTATCTCTCTGCAATACTGATGTAATTTTAAATCATGTTAGTTATGGCTTTTTGTAATTAACTCTCTACTTCCTTTTCCTTCACCTGACTCAGCAGCCAAGTATAACATTGTCTTTAAATTTAAAGACACCCGGTATAGAAGAGAAACTGGCTGTTGAAAACCTGAGAGAGAGTCGATTAAGGATAGTCTGAAGGAAACTAAGTAGAGGGAGTTCTGTAAGCAGATTACTGAGAGAATATGATTATTATGGTAACAAATCCATAAGCATTCACTCAAAAATATTCTTGATTCCTAGGCAGCTCTGGGCATGTTTCAACCAATAAATTGAGGTACATGTTAGTGCAACTTGGGGCAGACTACCTTTGTTCATTAAATCCCAAGAAGTTTGAAGACATAAAAAAGAAGTCCTGGTTCTCATGTTTCCAGACTTCTCAAGATCCCCTGTCTGTATTGCAAAGGAGGATCTTTGCCCCTTATGTTTGGATAAAGTCTTTAAAGGGATTTGAATACAAGCCCACTGCTAAAAAAGACAGGGTGTTTTGGGAATTCTGCATACAGGTAGTCCCTGCCATAGGCACTTTTTCTTAGGGTGTTTCTGCCACGTGATTGGCTGCCTAAAGATTACGATCTCCAGAAAGCCTTCCGGACGCCAGTCCTGTGGGATTCTTTTCCCATCTTTCTCTCTCATCCCCTCATTTCCTCATATCTAGCTGCTTCTCTAACCCCAGCAATGACTTGCATGCTGTGTTCCCTATCCTAAGCACTTTGACCCCTTTCTAAAAACTCTTCCATCTCTGACACAGGGCTACACTTTGTGCTGCTCACTGCATTTTACCCCTTTCCCAGGTTCCTGTGACAAGAACACTCAGGGGTGCATGGTATTTAGCTGTCCTCTTTGAAATGTAAGGGAGTTTTACTTTAGACTTTAGAGAAAT